GACACACGAGCTAGGAAAACACAACGAACAAAGTAATGTACAGCTTCCAACACTTTCATACGCAGCAAAGCGACCGTCAACGGCTTGTGCCGGTAGCTGAGCACGTCTCGCATCCTCTTGTGCGGTTGCTGGTCGCCATAAGTGCTCCCTTCGGCTTCGTGCTCTTCTCGCGTACGCGATTCTTTGCCCAGCTTAGTTGTCTTTCGAGTGACCCATCCATGTGTCTCTGGACGATGGATAGGCTTGTTGTAAAAGCCCCTGTGGTCGGCGTCGACGGTCACGTCATTCATCGCCTTCTCCAGCTTCTGCAACGTCAACCTAGGTGCCTCTGCACGCATTTGAGTCTTGAAAACCACAGTCTCGTGCCAGTCCTGCAAAGACTTGGGCCAGCTCTCCCGATTCATTTGATCCCAGTAGACCCGCGCGAGGGAAGCGTCGACATGCATGCACCGATGCACTCTGTGCTGCTCCGCATATCGGCAAGACGGCGTCCATGCGGTGCTGCACAAAAGCCCAACCCGAAGAAGCCCGGGCTCGCGCTCGCCGTCAACCATGTGAGACACATCCGGGGGTGTCGCCGCCAAAACGTGCGCTTGCACGTGTTGAACCGAGTCAATCAGCTGGACGTCGGTCTCCTTCACGGTGCACAAGAGCTGTATCGCACCGTGCCTTTCTTCGTCGGGCAGCAGCTGGAACACCACCAGCGCACTGCGACGAAGCAACTGCAGGCACACGGTAGGTGCCCATTCTTGCAATTCTCGCGATGCATCCATGCGTTGCCTGAGCTCAGCGGCCAGCAAGACACCGCACCTTTGAGTTGCCAAGGTCCGGACATCTTGGCACACTCCGACTCCTCCGGCGGTTCATTCCTGACCGTCGGCTTTGTTAGCCGTCGACGAGACAGCGCCAGTGCCACGCCCCGAGGCCCGCATCGTGACTCGAGGACCGGACTTCTTGGCAGGCTCCGACTCTTTCCACGGCGACTGTTTCCACGGCTCGTTCCTGGCCATCAGATTTGTTTGACGTTGCTTATGAGCTCAGTGTCAGTAGCCAACAACGAAACGCCGGCCGCCGTCGTCGTGACTTGAGGTCCGGACTTCTTGGCAGGCTCCGACTCCTTCGACGGCTCGTTCCTGGCCGTCAGATTTCTTTCGTTGCACACATGAAAAGCAAACACGAGGATCCATGCAGGGTCCTCTGCACAGTTGCAACCGCAAAGCAACGAGCCCGAGCAACCGGCTCTTTCTGCCGAGAAGCCTGAACACGTGCTCTGCAAATGCACGCATTTTGCCTGCGTCGATCCTGCAAACTCGGAGTGCAACACCCAGTGACAGGCACACACACACAGACACACACAGACACGCTTATGAGTTTAATGTCCAACAAGCACCTGTCCTCGACCAATACAGTTGTGCACCCCAAAACAGTTCAGCTTCTTGACCGAGGTACCGTCGACACAAAGTTTCGAAAAGCGGCTGCAGCCATTCCCGCCAAGTTTCATGACAGCCTCCCGCTTGCAGCAACTTCACTGTTTCCTTGCAAAAGCGCGTCATGATCTTGTACAGCAGCTGGCCATCTTCTCGGTTTTTTTCAATACGTCTGTCGTCTATGGCCGCGACGTCCAAGAACTGCATCCGGTCGTAGTTTCCCTCGTCCATGCCGTAGTTGTCAGGTTTGGCATCCCAGAGGGTCCACCCGTTCTCGAAGAATGTGCCGAACATGACCAGCGCGGATGTCCACAGACGCAGGTGCTGCTCGCGCAACTGGTCCGTCATGGGCCGTTGCCAAAGCCGCAACAGTGCCGTCTCCATAGAGAGCGCAACGCGATCGCAGACCATGACGGCGGCTTGGACACTCGTGTCCCTGGGCTTGTCCTCGTCCTCACTCCCTGTCAATTTCCAGTCACGGTCCCCCCACAGGTACAAGCCTCCGTAGTAATGGGGCATGCACGGTCGTACCGCGCCATTTTGGTACGCAGTCCTGTACTGTGTCAGCTCGCGCAGCGGGTCGTTTTTTTTCATCCAGCCATCTTTGTTCTGGCCCGCATAGGGCACGACCTTCACCGCCAACTTCCAAGTCTCCAAGCCGAAGGCCACCTTGAAAGCCCCGGTACCCAGACGGTGGATCCTTTCGTCGATGTGGATGGCATCAGAGCTCCCAGGCACCCGGAAGACAAGCTTGGCTGTGCCCGTGTGCCATCTGAGCAATTGGTTTTTCCTGTTCCACCCCTCGGTTGCATGCAGCTCTGCCTTGACCAAATAGGCATCCGAGGGCAAGGAGCTGGCCGCCATAGCCCAGCGGCACACCGAGCTTTCGCAAGACGACGTCCACTCGGCGGCACCGCGAAGACTAGCGCCACCACAGAAATCGAGCCCGAGCTACGCAGTAGCCCAGCGGCACACCCAGCTTTCGCAAGAGCGTCCACTGGGGGTCACCGCGAAGGCCAGCGCGACCACAGGAATCGAGCCCGAGCTACGCGGCACGCACAAATCGAAAAAGCATACAAAGGAATGCATGCAGTCAAATTGAAAGCGCATGGAATGCAACTCTCATCAGAGCGATCGTCTTGCTGAGGACAAGACCGGTAGTTCTCGTGGTGCGAGTCGAAGCAGCAGCAGCAGCAGCAGCAGCAGCAGCAATGACAAGTGCAAGGCTTTGCTCGAAGCGGCCCTCCAAGTCACCATCTAAAGCTCGAACCGGCTCTGGCGGGATTTTGACAGAAGCGCCGCCAAGCCCGTCACAACTAACCGCCTGGGCCATGATGAGGTGGCCGCAGCCCCGCGCTTTCGCAAGACAGCGTCCACACGGTTCCGCGGCCATGCTACATCTGCGTGTCAGCGGCGCTACCTCAGCCCGCACTTTTGCAAGACAGCGTCCGTGCAGCAGAAAAGTGCATCCCACATCTGCGCGGCAGCCAGCTCTTTCTGCCGAGAAGCCTGAACACGTGCCCTGCAAGTGCACGCATGCACGCTTCGTCGATCCTCCTGCAACGTGCGAGTGCAACACACAGTGACACACCCACACGCCACGTATGGTTTAGGCGTCAGACTTCCGGCTTATTAAGGATTTAATGTCCAGCAAGCACCTGTCCTCGACCAAAACAGTTGATCACCCCAAACAGGTGCAGCTTCTGGACCGAAGTACTGTTGACACATGGTTTGGAAAAGCGGCTGCAGCCATGTCTGCCACGTTGGATGAATGTCTCCACTTGTCAGCCTGGACTGTTGCCCTGCAAAAAATCTTCATGATCTTGTACAGCAGCTGGCCTTCAAGGTGATTGGGACTACAGCTTTTCCTCTCCATGGCCGCGGCGTCCAAGAACCGCATCCCATCGTAGTCTGCCTCGTCCACGCCGTAGTTGTCAGGTAGCGCATGCCAGAGCACCCACCCGTTCTGGAAGAATGTGCCGATCATGGCTAGCGCGGATGTCCACAGTCGCAGGTGCTGCTCGCGCAACTGGTCCGTCCTGGGCTGTTGCCACAGCTGCAACAGTGCCGTCGTCATAGAGATCTCAACGCGATCGCAGACCAGGACGGCGGCGGCGACCATCGGCCCCTCGTCGACCTCAGTCCCTGCCAAAGCGTCGACCTCAGTCCCTGCCAAAGCGTCGTCGAGGTCGCCCCACAGGTGCAGGCCTCCGTAGCACCGGGGCATGTACGGACGCACTGCCTCATTTTGGGACGCCCTCAAGTACTGCCTCAGCTCCCGCAGCGGATCGTTTGTCGTCATCCAGCCTTGTTTGTTCATGCCCGCATTGGGAACGATCTTCACCGCCAACCTCCAGTTCTCCAAGCTGAACGCCACCTTGAAAGCCCCGCAACCAAGACGGTCCATCCTTTCCTCGATGGCGATGGTAGCAGAGATCCCGGGCACCCGGAAGACCCACACAGTCTCGCCCCGAGATAGTGGGTTCTCTTGAGCCTGAGCGAAGGCCCTCGCGTGGGCCGCCTTGGACAAACTTACGAAAAGCCTTCTTGTGCCAGCTTGATTTCCTTGATGCAATTTCTTTGTTTTCTTGAAGCTTTTTGCAAACCTCTTTGCGGCTCCGGTCAGTGCGTGCAATGCCATCTCGCATGCAGAGTTGTGTGCTCAAGCCGAGCAGAAAATTTTGTCAGCCTCTCTAAAGGCCTTTACTTGCTTCCTAGCAGGCTCCGGGCGCTAATTCCAAGGCTATAGTTTGCTGGACTCCCCGCAACAGTCGGGGAAGTCTATGGAGAGGCGCCTTAGGCATCCGCCTCCGCCTCTTCGACGGCTGCTTCTGCTGTGGCTGTCGGGGCAATTGCCCGTGCGAGGTTGGCAGTCTGTCATTTTGCGACCGGAGCCTCCACTTCAGGTCGGCCTGCCTCAGCTGCTGGGAGCCGCATCTTCTGGTGCTCACGTATTGCTTGCTCTCGGTCTGAGTCCGCTACGGGCTCTGTCAAGCGTGTCTCGCGAAGTGGCGCGCATCTTCTTCGAAATCAGGCTGGCTGTGCATCGTGCTGCGCCCTCTCTTGCGAGGGCTTATCATCGTCCTTGACGTTATGTCCACTGCATCCAGCTCGGCTGAACAGCCCGCTGCTGGCGCTGCTCTAATGAAAGGACCCTCTGTAGTCCCTGACCCAGCCTCCCCGCCTGGGGCCCTACCTCCCGCCCTTGCTGATGGTCCTTTTCGGGTTCAAGTTGGGGGTTGTATGGCTGCTTTTGATAATCTGCTTCAAGAGCTTTCTGAGGAGGTCCAGTACCCGTTCCCTCCACAGCCTCCCGAGCAATTCTGCGAATTCCCTGAGGATTGGTGCGAGTCGGAACCGCAGGTCTCAAGCGATGTCTTCTCTAAACAGGGAGCCTCCTTGTTGTCAGACACAGGCGAAGTTTTCTTTGAAGAGAGTGCATCCGTGTTGTCGTATTCGCCGTCACCAGGGCAGCGAGACGGAGTTGCTTCGCAGGCATTGAGTGCTGCACCGAACACTTCAGCTGGCAGGCTAAGTAGCTCGTGCAGCAAAGAGGTTGAACGCCCCGCCTTCATGCAGGACGATGCCCTGGGATCCTTTGTTGGAGGATTGGTTAAGTCTGATGTTGCTAGGTTTGGTAATTTTGACTTGAGCCTTCAGCTGCCGTGGGAGACCGATTTTGCAAAGAGCCTGCTTGACCCAGATTGTGTTTGGGACCCTTTGAATGGCTTCAAGCAGGATTCGCAGATTCCTCCTTTGTCGACGCTAACTCTTGCAAATCCATCCTCCAAGCAGCCTGCCAAGGAGTGTCATACTGGAGCCATCTTTGCTTGGGCTGTGTCACTTGGTGCGGCGGCTAGGGATCCTGCAGCTGAGAGAGAGCGAAAGTTCGACCAAGGGGTGTGCATGTGGAGCCGATTGGTCTTGAGATATTCAGCATGCTGCACGCTTTACGACTGTGTTTTAGATGGCCAAGGCGCAGGTGAGAACACTTATGCTTTGATCGAGGCTGCAGTCTCAGCGGCCGTGGGAGTAAAGTCGCCACACACCATCCACAAGAGAGCGTCCTCATTTTGGGCGTTCGTTCGGTGGGTGGATGTCCATGATCCTCAGTCTGCCGAGAAGCTGCATGAGGTACAGGTGTGGAACTTTGTGCAGTTCCTTAAAGCTTCTGAGGCACCCGCATCAAAAGCCTCGTCTGTGATCAGCTCCTTCAGGTTTGCGCATTTTGTGCTGGGGTTCAAAGTCACGAGCATCATCGAGTCAAAGCGAATTTGCGGTGCCGCGGAGCAGCAACTTGTGAAGGTCAGGAAATTGAGGCAAGCCCTGGATCTTAGGGTCTCCAGATCCTTGAGCTTCATGCGCGGCTGGAGTCCGGAGCTCTGCATTGCTTCGACAGGGCTCTCCTTGCGTCCATTTTGATCAGGCTGTATGCCAGGGCACGTCCCAGCGACTTCTTGTTCATTGAGACAGTTGAGGTTGACTGTCCGGCCGATTCAGACTACCCTTTGCTAGTCTTTGAAGTCTCTGAGCACAAGGGGGCAAGAAAAGTCCAGCTTAAGAATAAACTTCTCCCAATCTTGGTGCCCATGATTGGGGTACATGGAAAGTGCTGGATAAACGAGGCGTTGAGCGCCTTCAAGGACGCTGGCAGAGCATTGCCGGCTGTGCGAGGTCCATTGACTCTTGCCCCTAGGGATGCCTCTGGGACAGCCCCCTCTGCGCGGTCTGTCACTTCTGCTGAGGTGGGCCGTGCCTTGCGTGCATTCTTGGGCGAGCCTGAAGAAATCATTGATGCTTCCGTGCCGAGAGTTACCGCATACTCTCTTCGTGGCACTTGCTTAGGTTGGGGAAGTAAGTTTGGTTTTGACGAGGACCTCAAAAGTATACTCGGTAGGCATGCTTCATCGGTCAAGACTACTCAGGCCATCTACAGCAGAGAGCTTGCAGCTGCCCCAGTGCGGAAATTGCAGGACTTGATCAGAGAAATCGTGGCCGGCCGGTTCATGCCCGACAGCAGTCGGTCGAGTTACTTCCCAAAGACGCCTAGCGCTAAGGAAGCTGGGAAAGCCATCGCATGCTCGGACAGTTCGGCCCCTGGAACAGGTGCGGTCAAGATCGAAGTGCTTAGTAGCGACGAATCTGGTTCGGAGCCGGGAGATTCGCCTGATAGCGAGTCCTCTGGCTCGACTTCGAGTTCCTCGAGCTCTTCTGTAGAAGCTAATGCTCAGCCCATTGTGCGACGGTGGAAGAGAGCCAAAGTGGAGTCTACTGACCAGGTGTGGTACGCTCACACCGGTAGTGGAGTTTTGCATCTGCTCGCGAGTCCTGAGGAGGCTCCGATGTTGCTCGCATGTGGGCGACCGGTGAATAAGAATTACCGGGAGGCTACGAGAGAGGAAGTATCTCGTGGGACAGAGTGCCGGACATGCAGGCGAAATGTTTGACGTGGATCCAGGCTGAAGTCGGCCCCAAAGAAAGAAAAAGGATGCGAAAGGAGCGAAGGTGCTCCGAGCGTATGTGCTCCGAAAGTCGATGCGACTTCTTGGGGGTGTGCATGCTGTCACCTTGTGATGTCCCGCTCGAGCCTTGCTTGAGTCAGTGTGTGCAGGTTTGGCTAGCCTCTTGAGTTGAGGTATGAGCGAATGTGCTCGGAGCGCATGTGCTCCGAAAGTCGATACGACTTCTTGGGGGTGTGCATGTTTTCACCTTGCTGCTGATGATACTTGAGCTTTGATTGAGTCAGTGTGTGCAGACTTGGCTACTCTTTCGAGCTGAGGTGGATCGATTTCCGCTAAAGCTTTTGGGCTCAGTATGACCTCTTTGGTAGAGAGCACCCATCACTTCACCTCGAGATGCACCGAGGTCGGTCTTAGCCGGGACACGCTCCGTGCTTTTGCAGCTCATGGAATCGACACTTTGAGTAAGTTGGCTTACTCGTGCGGCCAACCGGGGGCGCCGTTGCCTCAATCGGACTTTGATGACTTCATTGCTACCGTGATACCTGCAGCTCTCTTGGGCGAGAAAGGAAGTGTGAAGAGGCTCATCTTTGAGAGTCAGGCATTACTGCTCACTGATCTGCGTGAACAAGTTACGCAGCCCGACAAGTGGGCTACCAAAAATGTGCCGACCGTCGAACGGCAGAAGAGAATGGAGGCTGTGAAAGCCAGCATCCCAGGAGTGTTGGTTGAAGGGTCCTTGGAGCCATCGCATGGGCTCCTCAATGCTGCTTGCCGCATGGAACGTGAAGGCCAGCTGCGCTACATTGCACCTGAGCAGTGTGGCACAAGAATGTATGAAATCCAGAACGTCAAGGCGCAGAGCAAGGTTCTTTCTTTGGAAGAGGGCAAGCTTGCGATTTCAGAAGAAAAGGATTTGCCTGAGGTCACTTGTGGGTCCGCCTTGTTGCTACAAGAGGCTTTGAAAAGGCGGGGGATCGCCCTTCAGTTTGCGGGTGTGGCTTCCTTCCTCGCTCACGAGAAGTATGTATTGAAGCTCTTCGGCCACATGGGTCGAGAGCCCCCTCCGGGGCACGCGAGAACCAGTGTGCACCAGCTCCTCACTGCTGACCGCCAGGTTTGGACAAAGTTGATCGAGGACGAGGTTAGCCCAAGGCGCAGCCCCGCTGGCACCTACCCCGTGGACGATGCACTGTTACCCGCGTTGCAATCGTATGATGTCACTGTTGCGCTGCTCCCCAGGGAATCCTCTAAGGATGGCAAGAAGCGTTTTGCTCCGACCAAGAAGCATCAGAATGAGCGTGAACAGAAGGTTGGCAAAGGTGACGGAGGCAAGGGTTCTGGCAAAGGCAAGGGCAAGCGTCCAACATGGCAGCCAAGTGTGCCGGAGGCTATACGCAAACTCGGCGGGAGTGCCCAAACTCCGGACAAGAAGCGCATTTGTTTCTCCAGGAATCTGCCTTGTGGTTGCACCCTTGACCCGTGCCCGAAAGGTCTTCATGTTTGCGCACTGTGCTTCTCCCCCGATCATGGCATCCAGGAGTGTCCACAGCGCAAAAAGTGACATCCGAGCCACACTGCGGATGTGCATATGGTGGCCGATGACGGAGAGGGCATCGCAGCAACAATTGCCGCAACCTCGACTGGAGGTCAAGACTACCCATTGCATGATTGCAGCTTGGTTGCACCGACCGGGTCAAAACTCGTTGTGTCAGAGCATCCAGCTGAAAAATTTTCTGCAAAATGTGAGCCTCCTGTGCTGGCTGACATCTTGAACTTAATTACACTTTTGGAGTCTGAGAAACCTTCACGAGGTCAATCCTCTGAGAACACCTTTTCTTGGACCTCAGGCGCATACGCTAAAGGTCCTTTGCGTGGGCTTCGGAAACACGCTTCTGTTTTCCCCGCTTGTATGCGCATGCTTTGCAGGCTTGTGCTCCAAGCTTTTCCGGAGGCCGATTTTGGCGCGGTTGCAGTTTTTAAGAATTTGCGAACACCTCTACATGTCGACATTAACAACTCTCCGGGATCGGTAAATTACTTGATTCCTGTGTCCTCTTTCACAGGTGGCGAGGTGTGGCAAGAAGGACAGGGATCCGTTGTTGTGCACGATGAGTTGGGCCATCCACTCATGGGCTCGCTCCTTCCGGTTGCAGATGGGCCCTGTGTCGTAGATCCGCGGCGCACCCATTGTACCATGCCGTGGGTTGGTGAGCGAGTGCTTCTCGTTGCATTTAAGCCTGCGCATACTCGTGATTTGTCCATAGCCTTCAAACAGCAGCTCCAGAGCTTAGGTTTTCCGAGCCGGGCATTAGGTTTGTGTGCGTTGGAGGCAAATTTGTTGCCTCCATCACCGCCTCTGCCAGAGGCTAGCTTGCTGCCGATGAGACCGGTTCTTCCGAACTCCGATGTCGTTTGGAATGACCCCCTTGTTATCGAGCTTTTTGCGGGCAACGGCCGTGTCACTGCTTGCCTCAAGCAGTTGGGACTTTCGGCTGCTGGGGTTGACCGCAATCCTAGTAAGTCCGTGTCCTTCTGTCTACCGGCGGACCTCACCTCGGCTCGAGGCCAAAAGCTGTGCAAGGAGTGGCTCGCCTCTCCTAGATTGGCCGGCCTTTTTGCTACGCCCCCAGCCTTCACCGCTGCCAATGCTGACGCAATCACATTCTTGTTGCATGTGTTGTCCACAGCCTTGACCAATGGAGTCCTTTGTGCCATCGCGAACCCTCGACAAAGTCGCTTCTGGCAAAATCCTCAGTGGAGGGCTGTTGCCTCCTCTTTTCGTTTTGTTGCCTGCCAGGAGTGTACCTTCGGTGGCAGACATGACGATCACACCGTTTTCGCTGTGTCGGATAGTGGCTTTGACAAGTTGGCTCGTTCTTGCCCCGGCCCTCCGTGCAAAGCCTTGAATCGCTGCCCCGATCCTGGCACCGGTTGCCCTGCTCACCTTGCAATGCAAGTAGCATGCTGCTTCGCCGAAGTTTTCGTCAAGAAAGGTTGGCAACCACCTAGCCAGTGTTTCGATGCATTCGACCCTCGACTTCAAGTGCCGATGTCACGCGCTCTAGCAGGTGCTCAGCCTCCGGCTAGCAAGATTCCTCCGCTCGTCCCGGAACATAAGCGTGTGGTCGTGCTTCGCCACCCGCCTGGCCTCCAACTATCGTGCCAGCCCATGCAGCGTCTTACTACAGATTGGCTCGTGCCTCAGGGGTGCCATGCTCCCTGCGCCTGCATTCCTGCGAAATCCCAGCTTCTCAGGCACGTGCCGATAGGTCAAAGTGGGGGCGACGAGACTGTGAAAGTAGGTTTGTGGGAAATGGCTTGGGGAATTCCTTGGGACCCAGAAGAGTTTATGAAGACGGCCAATGAGTCCAGCCATCCTCGGACCATTGGATCTGTGCTCCCTCAGCCACTTAAGGATTCTCTTGATGCATTGGACGAGAAGAATGACGCCGAAGTAACCGAGCTTAGAGCTAGGGTTATTAAGGACTGGGTTCACCTTTCGGTTTCCCTTGCTCAGGATGAAGCAAAGTTGAAAGCAAGCATGCACCCTGACGTCCGTGCCATCACCGAACCGAAACGCATTTTGCTGTGGGAGTCTCTGATGGCGAAGTACGCTTATCCTGACCCTGGAGTGTCCAGTCTCCTCAAGGAAGGGATTCCCTTAGTGGGTCACGCGCCCATCTCGGGCGTCTTTAAGCCGAAGTTCAAACCTATGCAAGCCACGCCGGAGCAAGTGCGAGAGGATTTTCATGATTTTCGGAAAAAGGTCCATAAGTCCCTTAAGCCCCAGGAGCACTCCCTAATGTCCGAAGTTTTTGAAAAAACTGAGAAGGAGCTAGAGGCTGCTCAGGAACTTTGGTGAGCAGGCGGTTCGGATTGCGGCAAGGCCCGAAGGTTAGGTGCATTGACAACTTGACTTCGTCTGGGGTAAACTTAGCAGTGCAGGCTTATGAAGCTCCCCAACCGCAGTCCACTGATGTAGTGGCTTCCAGGAAATCAAATCCTTTGTGCAAAAAGTGTTGGAGGACGGCCGCCTTCCACATCATGAAGCGCTTCGCCTCAGAGGGAGGTGTCAGTTTGCAGATTCGCAAATCTTCGGCCGCACTGGGAAGAAGTGTCTAGGATTGATCACTGCACACGCCTATGGTCTCGAGGAGGCTATCAGTCACGAGCTTCGCGTGTCGCTTGAAAGGTTTCTGCAAAGGCTTGAGTGCGATGCACCGCGACTTATCAAGATCCTTGAAGGCGGGTTCTGGAAGGTGTACACGGATGCATCCTACGAGCCGGGTGCAACCACGAGTTACTGTGGAATAGGCGGTGTGTTGGTTGATCCTAGTGGTGTGCCTAGAAAGTTCTTTTCAGCTGTTTTGGACGATTCCCAAAAGATTTTCTTAGGCGAATCCAAGTCAGCCCAGATCATTTTTCAAGCAGAATTGCTGGCGCTCACAATCGCTATGGATGCTTGGTCACACGACTTTAAAGGCTGCCCTGTAATTTTCTTCGTGGACAATAACGGGGTTCGTGACATCACCATTTCGGGGCATGCGAAAGCGTCGATAGCCAGGCGACTATTGGAGATTTTCTTGCAATTGGAGCATGATGCTTCAGTCGTGCCTTGGTACGCGAGGGTACCATCACCATCAAACCCCGCAGATGAACCTTCGCGGATCGAATGCAAAAGCCTGTGCCTCTTGGGCACTCATCTTGAAAGATCCACCGTGGGCGGCATCATCACCGCTTGCTTGAAGAAAGTACAGGGGCTCCGGTGAGTCTGCAGTCACTGGACGAAGCTAAAGGATTCCTTAAATAGGTTAAGTTGGGGTGAAAGTCAGCAGGGCCCCTCCGAGAGGGCTGCAACTCCCTGCGTGCAATTAGTGTAGAAGAATGCCAGCCTGGCATGTAGCTAGTGTACCTGTGCTGAAGCAGCACACATGCATCTGACATCCCATCGTCACCGAAGGAAAAGTCTTCTGAGTGCGATCCGCAGTTTGCGAGTTTCGGTACAAGCAGTCATGTCAACCTTGTTGCTTCAAGCTTTTCAATTCTTATTGCAGCTCGGGGGCTAAAGCACTTAAAGTTTTCTTGCAGCTGTTTGGTCCAAGTCGTTCGGCTCGAGAGAACCACACAGTCTCGCCCCGAGATAGTGGGTTCTCTTGAGCCTGAGCGAAGGCCCTCGCGTGGGCCGCCTTGGACAAACTTACGAAAAGCCTTCTTGTGCCAGCTTGATTTCCTTGATGCAATTCCTTTGTTTTTCTTGAAGCTTTTTGCAAACCTCTTTGCGGCTCCGGTCAGTGCGTGCAATGCCATCTCGCATGCAGAGTTGTGTGCTCAAGCCGAGCAGAAAACTTTGTCCCGCCCACCCGCCCTGACACTGGCGAGGGCTGCAACTCCCTGCGTGCAATTAGTGTAGAAGAATGCCAGCCTGGCATGTAGCTAGTGTACCTGTGCTGAAGCAGCACACATGCATCTGACATCCCATCGTCACCGAAGGAAAAGTCTTCTGAGTGCGATCCGCAGTTTGCGAGTTTCGGTACAAGCAGTCATGTCAACCTTGTTGCTTCAAGCTTTTCAATTCTTATTGCAGCTCGAGGGCTAAAGCACTTAAAGTTTTCTTGCAGCTGTTTGGTCCAAGTCGTTCGGCTCGAGAGAAAAGCTTGGCTGTGCCTGTCTGCCATCTGAGCAATTGGTTTTTCCTGTTCCACCCCCCGGTTGCTCGCAGATCTGCTTCGACCAAATAAGCATCCGGAGGCAAGGTCCTGCCTGCCATAGCCCGGCGGCACACCGAGCTTTCGCAAGACAGCGTCCACTCGGCGTCGCCGCGAAGGCCAGCGCGACCACGGGAATCGAGCCCGAGCTTCGCGGCACGCACAAAAAGCATCCAAATTACTGCATGCAACGAAATTGAAAGCGCATCGGATGCAACTCTCACCAGGGCGATTGTCTCGCTGAGGACAGGACCGGTAATTCTCGTGGTGCGCGTCGAGGCAGCCTAAGCAGCAGCAGCAGCAATGACAAGTGCAAGGTTTTGCTCGAAAGCCCTCCAAGCCACCATCTAAAGCTCGAACCGGCTCCAGACCGCCACGCGAAAGCCAGGTTTAGCATAGCAAGTCACAGCATCGGAAGTGGCTTCATTTTGACAGAAACGCCGCCAAGCCCATCAAAAATCACCGCCCGGGCCATGAGGTGGCCGCAGCCCCGCACTTTCGCAAGACGGCGTCCGCGCGGTTCCGCGGCCGCAGCCATAAGGTGGCCGCACCCCCCGCACTTTGGCAAGACAGCGTCCATGCGGTTACGCAGCCCTGCTACATCTACGTGGCAGCCGCGCTATTCCGACCTCAGCCCGCACTTTCGCAAGACAGCGTCCGCGCAGTAAACAAAAGGTCATCCTACATCTGTGTGGCAGCGAAGCCACTATCGTGTCATTTGGGGTTTTCATTTCCGATTGGGTGTTTCACCCTCCGAGTCCTGCCGTGGAAAGAAAGCAAAAAAAGCACAAAAAACACCAATTATGTCATGGTTTGCAGCTGAGTTTTGTGGAGCCAACACACATGTTTTCATGCTTTGGGCACACACATACACCGAAATATTTGTGCATATTTTAAATGTTTTGCATGTTTTCCTCTGGTGTGCTCAACTGTCGTTTTGCCAAATCAAACTTGTTGTCAGCAAATCACATGGGAAACCGTTTTTTAACACCACACATCACACTCATGGAACAGTTTTGCAGCAGCTATGAACACGACCCTAAACTCTTAAACCCTAAGCCGACTCCCTAAATCCCAAGCCTTAAACTCTTTGGTTGCTAGGGCTTAGATGGTTTTGGGTGCAGGGATATTAGTCTTCGGGGTCATTCAGGGTGCCTCGGTGGGGGTTGAACAAGCCCCCTCTTGGCTTAGTGGGGTGATAGGGTTATTCAGGGTGCCTTGGTGGGGGTTGAACAAGCCCCCTCTTGGCTTAGGCAAGTAGTGGGGTTTTTAGGCAGGTGCTGGAGTTTTCCAGGGTGCCTTGGTGGGGGTTGAACAAGCCCCCTCTTGGCTTAGGCAGGTAGTGGGGTTTTTTGCAGGTGTTGAGTTGTTCAGGGTGCCTTGGTGGGGGTTGAACAAGCCCCCTCTTGGCTTAGGCAGGTAGTGGGGCTTTATGCAGGTCTTGAGTTGTTCAGGGTGCCTTGGTGGGGGTCGGCTCGGGTTTTGGGGTTGGGGTTTAGAGTGCTTGCCCAGAAGCCCGAAGCAAGACCCTAAATGCCCAAATTCTTTAACCCTGAACCCTAAACCCAAACCCCCGAAGCCCTACTCCCCTGAGCTCTGAACATGATGCCTCATCCTGAATTGTAAGGCTAAACTCCTCCATAGCAATAGTTGCCAAGCCCCCAATTTGCACATGCCATCGACCTTCACCTCAGCCCTGGTAACCCTGAACCCCTGAACCTTATGCCCGAAACCCCGAACCACATAAACCCTGAACCTGAGGCCCTGAACCCCTTGACCTTAAACCCTAGCGCCAATAACCCTGTCGTTGCAGGCCTTTGAGCCCTAACCTTTACACCCTAAACCCCCAAACCCTACACCTGTGGTGGCACAACACTGCTTGCGCCCGACGACGAGGCATGGCATTCGCTTGCAACCGGTTGGGTTCTGTATTTTTCTCACACAACCATGAATTGAAATGATTCTTAGTTGCAGGGTTCTGCTGCAAAAAAACAGGTTGCAACCAGTTGCGTTCTGTAACTTGTGGCAAATCAGATGACTTGAATACAGGTTTCTGTGGCAAAATACAGATTGCAACCAGTTGTGTTCTGTAACTTGTGGCAAAAACATCAATTCAGATGACTTGACTACAGGTTTGTGTGGCAAAAAACAGATTGCAACCAGTTGCGTTCTGTAACTTGTGGCAAAACCATCAATTCAGATGACTTGAATAGAGGTTTCTGTGGCAAAATACAGATTGCAACCAGTTGCGTTCTGTAACTTGTGGCAAAAACATCAATTCAGATGACGGGAATACAGGTTTGTGTGGCAAAAAACAGATTGCAACCAGTTGCGTTCTGTAACTTGTGGCAAAACCATCAATTCAGATGACTTGAATACAGGTTTCTGTGGCAAAATACAGATTGCAACCAGTTGCGTTCTGTAACTTGTGGCAAAACCATCAATTCAGATGACTTGAATAGAGGTTTCTGTGGCAAAACACAGATTGCAACCAGTTGCGTTCTGTAACTTGTGGCAAAACCATCATTTCAGATGACTTCAATACAGGCTTGTGTAGCTAAACACAGATTGCAACCAGTTGTGTTCTGTAGCTTCGTAGTAACAGTTGCGAGATCTAGGGCCGTTGAGATTGTCGGGTTTAGAGGTCAGGTTTAAGGGTTTCGGGCTAGTGCATCATGCATGTCACATCAGGCATGGCATGCCACATCATGTTCTGGTTCAGGGGTTTAGGGGTTCAAGGGTCACATCATACATGCCATTCCATGGCATATTCTGCTTCAGGGGTCTAGGGGTCGCAGCATACATGCCATAGCATGACATTTTGTGGTTTAGGGGTCACATCATGCATGTCATGCCATGTCATGTCATGTTCTGGTTTAGGGGTTTAGGGGTTGCATCATACATGCCATACCACGACATGTTGTGGTTTAGGGGTCACATCATGCATGTCATGCCACGACATGTTCTGGTTTAGGGGTTTAGGGGTTTAAGGGATCATACATGCCACCCCATGTTACTTTCTGCTTTAGGGGTTTAGATCATGCATGTCATGCCACGACATGTTGTGGTTTCGGGGTTACTTCACTCATGTCATGCCACGACATGTTCTGGTTTAGGGGTTTAGGGGTTTAGGGGTTTAAGGAATCATACATGCCATCCCATGTCACTTTCTGCTTTAGGGGTTTAGATCATGCATGTCATGCCACGACATGTTGTGGTTTAGGGGTTACTTCACTCATGTCATGCCACGACATGTTCTGGTTTAGGGGTTTAGGGGTTTAAGGAATCATACATGCCATCCCATGTCACTTTCTGCTTTAGGGGTTTAGATCATGCATGTCATGCCACGACATGTTGTGGTTTAGGGGTTACTTCACTCATGTCATGCCACGACATGTTCTGGTTTAGGGGTTTAGGGTTTAAGGGATCATACATGCCATCCCATGTTACTTTCTCGTTTAGGGGTTTAGATCATGCATGTCATGCCACGACATGTTGTGGTTTAGGGGTTACTTCACTCATGCCATGCCATGTCATGTTTTGGTTTGACATGTTGCGGTTTAGGGGTTACTTCAGTCATGTCATGCCATGTCATGTTTTGGTTTAGGGGTTCAGGGGCTTGGAGGTTTAGGGAGAGGGGGTTCATGGATCCTATGTACTCTGTGAAGCGGTCCCTCCAACACAAGTGCTCCAGGCGATTCAGCGGCTCGAGGGCTTCTTTGAGGACCTTGCCAAGGCATTGCACCTCCATAAGCAGGTCCACACCCTGTTGTCCAGACACACTCTTAGTCTTTTGCAACACTGCAATATCCGTCTCAGCACTATCCAAGCGCGAAAACACAGTGTTGAAGCGGGCTTCAAGCTCTCGGTAGGATAAAAGATTTTGGGGCTGCTGCCTTAAGATATCTCATGCTGAACATGCTGATTTGAGCAGCTTGCTGGCTAGATATGACGATGAAGCATCAACAAAAAGCTGTAGCTAGGAAAAGCAATGCGGCATGGATGCTTTGGTGCTCGGCAGTCTGTCGTTTGCATGGTGTGATTTCCCTACCAACAGAGATTTT